ACTTTGGGAGGCCAAGGCAGGCAGATTACCTGACGTCAGGAGTTCAAGACCAGCTTGGCCAAGATGGTGAAACCTCGCTCTACTAAAAATACAAAAATTAGCCAGGTGTGGTGACGAGTATCTGTAGTCCCAGCTACTTGGGAGACTGAGACAAGAGAGTTGCTTGAACCTGGGAGGTGGAGGTTGCAGTGAGCCGAGATCACGCCACTGCACTCCAGCCTGGGCAACAGAGTGAGACTGTCTAAAACAAAACAAAACAAAACAAAAAACAGTTACTTGATATTAGTAAAATGCAATGAAGACCCTTACTACTACTTACAGGTGAATGATCAAAGGTCATTCCTGAGATTTGAGTCTAACAAATGGGAGGGTTTTGGCTGCCATAATGGAAACAGGGCTGTCCATGAAGAGAGTGGGTCCGGGGTGTAGGAAGCTGACTAGCTCTAGAAAGGTGAGCTTGGGGGTTGGTGGGAGCACAGAAGGGGAAGGACAGAGCAGGCCAGTGCTACTGTGTGGTGGAGGTCAGAGGTCAGGTTGAGGGATCTGAGCTCCAGAGCTATCCCCAGGGGTGGGGTGAGGGGAAGTGAGTTAGTATACAGTGTTCAAGCAGGCTATTTGGGAAAGGATTCAACCACACAGATCCAACCAAACCTTGAGGGTCACCTATATTTGAGGAGAGAGAGCAAAGCTCCTTAAGGAAGCAAAGAAGTCTTGAGAGAGAGGAGGCAGGACAGCATAGAGTCCTGGAGACCAAAGGGGAGAAAATGTCATAAATGGGGTGGGAACACTGTGACCAGACAACCCGGTGAGGTCAGAGGGAAGGGAAACAGGAAAAGACTCCATGGAATGTGTGTCCAAGAGATCCCTGTGACCTCTGAGGTAGCAACTACCCACAGCTCAGCCCATTTGTGCAAGGCTACAAAGCGAATGACAAGGAAGGGATGCACCCGATTCCAATCACTGCTTATGATGGCCAGTGATTAAAGACAGGAAGAAATCCCACAGTGGCTCAAGGGAACAGGAACAAGGTTTCGGAACGCTCAGACTTTGACCCCCCTTGTGGCATTGGGCAATACACTTAAGAGGGTCACCTCACTAGAGGCCTTTCCCTTCCACATGGAGTTACCTGGCGTTGCTGTAATCCAGCACTGCCTGGACAGAGCTTTACACCAACAGGTATCAGAGTCAATTCCAAAGTTCACTCAGTGGCCAGCTTGTGAAAAGAGCAAATAAACCACGGGTGTTTTATCTCAAACGCCATTATCTCTGCAAAAATGACCTCTGGAAATAGCACATAGAACATCCTCCATGCATTTTAGAAAGTGAGTGCATTGGATATAAAGACACTGCAATGGCCAGGCGCTGTGGCTGACACCTGTAATCCCAGCACTTTGGGAGGCTGAGGTGGTTGGATCACCTAAGGTCAGGAGTTCAAGACCAACCTGGCCAACATGGTGAAACCCTCATCTCTACAAAAATACAAAAAATTAACTGGGCATGGTGGCGGGTGTCCTTAATATCAGCTACTCAGGAGGCTGAGAGGGGAAAATTGCTCGAACCTGGGAGGCAGAGGTTGCAGTGAGCCAAGATTACGCCATTTCATTCCAGCCTGGGTGACATAGCAAGACTCCATGTCAAAAAAAAAAAAAAAAGAAAGAAAGAAACAGCTCCCAAGAAGAGGAACAGACTCAGTCAGTTTCCGAAGGTCACTCTTTCATGCTGGGTGCGGTGGCTCATGCCTGCAATCCCAGCACTTTGGGAGGCTGAAGCAGGAAGATCACCTAAGGTCAGGAGGTCGAGACCAGCCTGGCCAACATGGTGAAACCCCGTCTATACTAAAAATACAAAAATTAGCTGGGCGTCGTGGCACGCACCTGTAGTCCCAGCTACTCGGGAGGCTGAGGCAGGAGAATCGCTTGAACCCGGGAGGTGGAGGTTGCAGTGAGCCTAGATCATGCCATTGCACTCCAGCCTGGGCAACAAGAGCAAAACTCTCCCTCAAAAAAAAAAAAAAAATTTGTAGGCCAGGCACAGTGGCTCAAGTCTATAATTCCAGCACTTTGGGAAGGCCATAGCGAGCAGATGGGTTGAGCCCAGGAGTTTAAGACCAGTCTGGGCAACATGGCAAAACTCTCTCTATTAAAAAAAAAAAAAAAAAGCAGTTGTGACTAGATAGCTTTTTCCCAAAGGTGGTTGCCCAGCCTCCTGAGTAGCTGGGACTACAGGTGCCTGGCACTATGATAGCTATTTTACTTATTTATTTATTTATGAGATGGAGGCTTGCTCTGTCACCCAGACTGGAGTGCAGTGGCACAATCTCAGGTCACTGCAACCTCCGCCTCCTGGGTTCAAGCCATTCTCCTGGCTCAGCTGTCCCAGTAGCTAGGATTACAGATGTGCACCACCATGCCCAGCTAATTTTTGTATTATTAGTAGACATGGCATTTCACCATGTTGGCCAGGCTGGTCTTGAACTCCTGACCTCGTGATCCGCCTGCCTCGGCCTCCCAAAGTGCTGGGATTACAGGCATGAGCCACCGCACCCGGCCATGATGGCTATTATTATTATGATTATTGAAATGGAGTCTTGCTCTGTCACCCAGGTTGGAGTGCTGTGGCGCGATCTCGGCTCACTGCAACCTCCACCTCCTGGGTTCAAGTGATTCTCCTACCTAAGCCTCCAGAGTAGCTGGGATTACAGGTGCCTGCCACCACACCCAGCTATTTTTTGTATTTTTAGTAGAGACAGGGTTTCACCATGTTGGCCTGGCTGGTCTCGAACTCCTGACCTTAAGTGATCCACCCGCCTCGGCCTCCCAAAGTGGTGGGATTACAAGAATAAGCCACCATGCCCAGCCTTATTATATTATATTATAATTATGTAAATATTATATTTTAATTATATTAAACGTTAATATTACATTATATGTATATATAAATGTTATCTTTATATATAATATAAATATTATATTGAACAATATGAAATATATATTATGTACTTTATTATTTTATTATAAAATAAAAAATAGCCAGCACGGTGTAGTCCCAGCTACTCAGCAGGCTGAGGCAAGAGGATTGCTTGAGCTCAAAAGTTGGAGGCTGCAATGAGCTACGATCACATGTCACTGCACTGCAGCCCAGGTGAGAGTGAGACCTGTCTGTACAACAACAAAAAATTTATAGTTCCCCTCTATATCAGAGGGGGGTTGCGAACTGGAGGTTTGTTAATGTGTTTACCTACTCTTTATGTTACCATATGTAAAAGGGCTTAGAACAGTGAATGCCTAGTATATGTAAATACTATCAACTCTTATTATTATTCCCCTCCTCTACCTAGTAGAATTCTTTTAGTTTTGCCCCTGGCAATTGCATTCCTAAACAGTATCCCTCAATTGCTGTTCCAACTGAGGCATTCAGAAGGATAGCTTGTTTTTGTGTTTTTGGTAGAAGTGGGGAGAGGGGAGAAGCCTGTTTGGTCTGATACAGGAAATCGCGCCTGAATGCTGCCATCTAATGGTCACATTAAAAAATCAGATGCACCCTAACAAACTAATCCAGGGTTTTCCCTCAGCAAAGAGCATTTTTTTAATACTTGAAGACTATATTTTACTACCAATTTAATTTTTCTTTCTTCAGCAAAATCTGCCACTGAACCAAGTTCTCATGGAACTTAAGATTTTGTTTGATTCTTTCCAGGACCAGAAATTCCAAAATTACGGGGAAAAAGAATGGAAAAAAAAAAAAATAACATTGCATGACAACGGACACTAAGTTCATAAAGAACTTCTTTTTAAAATTAGATATTATGGAAGAAAATACCATGAAAAGAATAATCCTATGAGAATTGTTTTTCAGGCAGTAAATTTGAGCCTTGGGTCTTCATGAAGATACTACAGTTTATATAGAAAACTACAAATATACAAGACTCCGGCGGCGGGTGGGGGGGAGTCAGAATACATAATATTTAACATTCTGTATGACTAAAAATCTTTTGAGGGGAGCAAGAAAAGGACAGCCAACTGAATCTTTAAGAATACAGAAACTATGAAAAATTCCTGGATCAAAGGGTGCTCAAAATGGAACCACACTTTGTGGGGAAAAAAACCACAAGAAACTTTAAATTTTTTTTTTTAAGGAAAAGAAAAAAGTACTGAATAATTGTAGTCCCTTCCAAAAAGGAAATCTTAAGGGGAAAATATTTGAATAGCGTAAACAAGTCTGGCTCAGAAAGAAAACTGAACAACATATCCAAGATCTGTCCATAAAAGTAATGCTAGTACATCTTTAATATTAAATAAATGGGCTATAAAAAAGTTCAGTCTCACAATTGGTTTTTAAAAGCTCATTTGTGCTCCTTTGTATGTGCGTAGTAAAGTTTCATGGGTTTGTTCACTTTCCAGTATTTCTCACTGACCAATTCCAAAGAAAAAGAGCCATTTAATAGAGGGAACTGGCCACTGGCTCTTGCTATATAAATGTTATACTGCTTCTCACTGGCTATATCAAGGTTCATCTGGTTTGATTCACCTTTGCTTTGAAGTTTTTTTGTTTTTTTGAGACGGAGTTTCACTCTTGTTGCCCAGGCTGGAGTGCAATAATGCAATCTCAGCTCACTGCAACCTCCGCCTCCTGGGTTCAAGCGATTCTCCTGCCTCAGCCTCCCAAGTAGCTGGGATTACAGGCGTGCACCACTACGTCAAGCTAATTTTGTATTTTTAGTAGAGACAGGGTTTCTCCATGTTGGTCAAGCTGGTCTTGAACTCCCGACCTCAGGTGATCCACCTGCCTCAGCCTCCCAAAGTGCTGAGATTACAGGCGTGAGCCACCATGCCCAGCCCTGCTTCGAAGTTCTTTAAAAGCTAACCTCACAGCCAGATACTTGGATAAGCGATCTACAGTGGCGTTACCAGAAGTCTTTATGTGTCTTGTCTGTGCACTGTCATCTTTTTCCGTAAGTGTGGGATGAGGCCTAAATACTAATTCAGTTTCACTAGTGCCATCCATTACTGGATCAATTTCCATTGCTGCATTGTTATTATCAAGCTCAAGCCCAGAATCATCAGTTGTTTTGGTCCGTTTGTTACTAGGGCCTGCTTCGTGATTGCTATGTGTGGAGGCATTACTACAGTGTGAAGTGTCACCATTATCTTCTGCTTCACTACCATTTTCAATCTGTTGTTTCTTGCGTCGCTGCAGTCTGTTCATAGCCTGTATCTTCAGTCCTTCCTCAATGCTGTGACTGAGTGCTTGCTGATTATTGTGCTTGCTGATCCTGGCTAATACTCTATCTTGATGAGTTTCATACTTATCATGACTTGGATAAATTTTGCTGATGAGGGCATCAAAGTCTGGGTCTGGCCTTAGTGATCTTTTGGAAACTAGTTTTTTCCGACAGGTAAGACATTCTCTGTTGCCGCTTCTAAGGGCTATGATGATGCAGTCTGCACAGAAAGGATGTAAACACTCCTTTGTAGTCATGGTGTTCTTCAACATTTCCAAACAAATTGGGCACATTAAATCACTGTGTAGACTTCGAGGTGAAACCACAATTTCAGGTTTTCTTTTCTTTTCTTTTCTTTTTTTGCGACAGAGTCTCACTCTGTTGCCCAAGTGGGAGTGCAGTGGCGATCTCTGCTCACTGCAAGCTCCGCCCCGTGGGTTCACGCCATTCTCCTGCCTCAGCGTTCCGAGTAGCTGAGACTATAGGCGCCCGCCACTATGCCCGGCTTATTTTTTGTATATTTAGTAGAGACGTGGTTTCACCGTGTTAGCCAGGATGGTCCTGATCTCCTGACCTCGTGATCCGCTCGCCTCGGCCCCACAAAGTGCTGGGATTACTAAAGGCGTGAGCCACCGCGCCCAGCTGAAACCACAATTTCTAAGCCATGTGTTACTGTCTCCTGTAAGAGAGTCACTGGGGTGTTCATTGTAACTCATATAAACTGAGTTCCCATGTTTTGCTTAATGGTTGAGTTCCGTTTGTTTGCACAGCCTGAGACATTGAGGCTCCTGCCTCAGCCTGGGGCTCCGCTGGCCGAAGCCAGAGCGAGACTCGACTATCAGCCGCCGCGGGCCGACGGCGCCGCCGCACAATATGGCGAGCTGCAAACAGCATTTTAACACAAGCCTCCAGGGTTTCAGGACACCCGCCTCTTTCCCTGCGGATACCAAAATCTGCCCATGTCCAAGTCCCTAATATACTCTGGTGCGTATACTATGGTGTCAAATTTGTATGTCCCAAATACTCTAAATCTCTAGGTTATTTATAATACCTTAATACAATGTAAGTGCTATTTAAATGGTTGTTATACTGTTTTTTATTTGTATAATTTTTATTGTTGTATTCTTGCTTTTTATTTTTATTTTTTCTGAATTTTTTTTTTTTT